GGTTCCATTTAAAAAATTCAAAGTGACCTTGTCCTGACCTTGACGACGCCACTCGGGGTCAAACCAATGTTATCATCTTATGTCCCCCTCGAAACCGAACAACTTTTGTCTGAAAAATTTTTCTCTCCCGGGCTTGATTTTCGAGATAGTATTTGACTGGATGGATTAAAATGGTCCACCCTGTATATGTTTGATACATTTTATTATTGTAATTTTATGTGTTTATTATTTATTTATTTATTATGAAATTATTGAGCTACTAAACGTCTACATGTTACATATGTTCCCTGGTGAAAATTGCGGACAGAAATGGACAGAAAATGCATGCTATCCGTTTCTATCTGTTTTACTATGCGTTTCTTAATCTGCAATTACGGATAAATGCAGATGGATTGTGTTCAGGCCCGTTTGCGCATCAGCAGTAAGAAATGGATAAGATGCGTATACGCATTTGCAGACAGAAACGGATAAGATGCGTATATGTATTTGCAGACAGAAACGGACAGGATACGTATTTGCAGGAAGAAACGAATAGGATGAGTATACGTATTTGCAGACAGAAACGGATAGGATACGTATACGTATTTGCAGATAGAAACGGACAGAAGGCGTATACGCATTTACAGACAGAAATGGACAGAATGCGTATACGCATTTGCAGGAAGAAACGAATAGGATGAGTATACGTATTTGCAGACAGAAACGGATAAGATACGTATACGCATTTGCAGACAGAAACGGACAGGCGCGTATACGTATTTGCAGTTAGAAACTGATAAAATGCGTACATGTACCCAATTGCAGTCAGAAACGGACAGGATGCATGTACATATTTACAGTCAGAAACGGATAGAAATCGCAGTTGTCCATCTGTTTTTGCAAACGGAAACCGACAGATTGTGAACACAATCTATCTGCATTTATCCGTAATTGCAGATTAAAAAACGCATAGTAAAGCAGACAGAAACGGATAGGATGCATTTTCTGTCCGTTTCTGTCCGCAATTTTTACCAGGAGTTGTCATGCTGATTGGCACATCAAGATTTGTTATTTTTTCACAGCATAAATCCAATCTACGTACTTTCTTAGATTTCAGTAACAATAAATTTCAAGAAAACTATTACAAATATGGTGGCATTATTTGTAAAAGATACATCATTATATTTGTTGCACATTAATATTTAATCTTTTTTTTATTCTCTTAAATATGAAAATAAATTTGTTCTTATGTTATTCGTAGCGATATAATAGAAAATTTTCACAAAAGTGAACCTAAACAAATGCTTCAGTACCGTACGAATAAAATGCCTTATCACAGGCATTTACGTATATGTTGCTTTTTAAAAAGTTATTCGAGTTACAACAACAGTGTGCGAGATAAATCCCAAGAGCTGCCTTCTTACGAAGCTGTGCCTTTGCTTAAGTTTCCTGTAGAGTATTTTAAAAAGTATATTTCTTATAGTAATTATAATGTTATATTATGTAATATAATTGTATTTCATCGTTGCAGGCTGAAATAATACTAATAATAATGGAACATCGAGACATAATATCGTTAAAACACCTAAGTCAAATCAATAAACGATTTAATGATTTATCAAGATATTCTTGTTTATACAGAAAACTAAATTTTCGAGACATCTACTTCACATATATGCCCATATATTTCTTTTAAAATATATATTGTATGTTTATCT